AGAGAGAGAGAGAGAGAGAGAGAGAGAGAGACCTTATTATTTTTTTTTATATCGCCCTTAACTCTTCATATTGTTTATTTTTATATAACGAGTCCTTATTTCTTTTTCTATTAATTTCTTATTATTTTTCATATTCGGAATTATTTAATAACCATTTTATTATTGTATATTTTGAGGTCTAGCAAAACGCAAAAACGCAGCAAAAATCGAGCACAGCCTGCCGTGACGGCAGGCTGTCAGCACTTGATTATGTCAGATCATGTTGTATTTTTACCGCGTTTTCGTTGTCAAGATGTGATAGCAAATAATGATTGATTTTTGTTGTTTATTTCTATCGTTGTGTTAAGTTGGCAGGATAAGCTGTTAGAAACTAAGCTTAATGAGGAAGCAGCAGCTTGATATCTGCTGCACGTCATGATCAAGTTTGCTGGCATACTGCCGGCATACTGCTAGCATTTTGCTATCTGGGGAGCGTTGTCATGAAGAAAAATAACTTTATCATATCTTTGCTTGTATTTCGGCCGTTTTTCTCGCAATGCAAGGCTCAAACGAATCAATTGTAGTCGATACTGATCGCTCGTAATGGAATCGCCAGGTTTCAGCAGCTCATAGTAAACAACACCCTTTTGGTCCCACCAGATACAGAGCATGATCTTCGAATCATGAATGTTCGGCTTTGGTGTTGATGTTGAGGTCGATGGCAACGATTGACCGGGCTTAGCGTAGTATTTTTTCTTCTTCGGGTTGTCGTAGAATATCCACTTCTCATCTCCAGTCACAATCCGATGCAAAAAACCTTTTCTTTGTTGTCTTTGAATCAGCTGCTCGCAAGTGAAAAATCGCCTTTCAACATTTCTCGGTTTCAGTTCATAAGGCACCCAATTTCCTTGTTTTTGAATCATTCCCATGACTCTCAATCGTACAGAAACGGCTTGTTGAGTTACTCCCAATGATTCTGCAAGCTCTTTGACTCTGATCTTCTTCGAGTAATGCCTCTAATTCTTTGTCTTCGAATTTTTTTAACTGTCCAGAGCGAGGCTTGTCTTCAACGCTGAAATCTCCATCCTTGAAACGTCGAAACCATTCCCTACATGATTTATCAGCTGGAGCAGTGTCACCATAAACTTCGACAAACATTCGATGGGTTTCAGCTGCACTTTTCTTCCAATTAAAGCAGAAAATTAAAACCTCCCGCAAATGCTGCTTGGTTACCACAAAATTCAACATTTCAAACACAGTAAAAATCAAGGTTTTTTTAAAACTCAAAGCGATATAAACTGAATATTATTAGCAGATGCCTAATCTCTCTGAAACCGCCAAAATCAACTGTCACTATGAACCATTCACAACAGCCGGAGCCATATATCTTTTGGAAAACGGACCGAACTAATTTGTACTCCCAATAGAATTACAAAATTATTTTAAATTACTTAAATTATTAAAAATTAAAATATTATTCTAATTATATATAATAAAATATAATGTTTAGGCATTCTTATTACCTTTTAATTATATATGTATATTTTTTTATCTTTCCTTTTTTTAACATAAATTAAATCACAATTATTAATTATTAATTGATTAATCACAAATAACAAAATATTCTGACAATATATTATAATTTAAAAATTTTCTAGGAAAGGATGCCGCACCTGCCGTGTCGTTATACAGTCGAACGAAATCAACGAAACTCGAAATTACACCAGCACCGGGCGATTACAATCCGCTAAAAGCTGAGAAGATCATTTTGGATAGTTCACCGAAATATTCTTTTGGTGTTAAAACGCAAATCGAGAAAGTCAGTTGTACACCCGGTAAGTTTAAATGTAATTATATATATTGTATACACATATACTTATTCATCTAGATTTTATATAATTGATAATATAATAATATAGAAAAATATTTTTTATTCGGGTAATATTTCATACTCTACTATAATATATTTTACCTCCTTTAGACTAGTTAAAAAACTCTACACTATAGTTGCAGAATCCTGATCAAACTAATCTGTAATTATTGTGACAGATGTAATCCTTACATTATGACATATTGATTTTTTAGACATGGTAATTTATATACAATTTTTTTTTATTTCTATAATTTTCAATATTATAATTTGTAATATCTTAAAATATAAATACTCTATCTACAAAAATACTAAAAAATATAAAACTAATCTACAAAGAGTTTATGGTGATTATTTCGTTAGGAAGAAAAATTTAATGGACTGTAGAAATAAATGGCTGCGTTGAGCAGAGAAAGCAACTTTTCAATAACAATACGATTGCTCCTTGCTTTTGGATTCCTTATGGATCTAAATGTATAAACTAATATCATATTGAAGAATTTTATATAATATAGCTGTAAAACTAATTTCTCTGCTAAACGCAGCAATGTATATATTATTCTTTAATCTATTGCAATAAGATATATTGTAAAATTTATGACAAATTCCAATATTTATATAGTCATTAGACTTACATTAGATCCATATATAATCATTAAAATAATTGCATATAGATTATTACAACAAGTATTACCAGTATAAAATTTTAGTTGTAACTGAAAAATTTTGAGCAAATTTGACAAATAATCGAAAAGCACACCACTTACGTCGTATACTCATATTATGTCAATTTATATACAAAACTAAATATTGCATCTCGATCATAGCACCGAGTGATTATTGCGTTGAAATCGTGAATCTCTACAAAGTAGTAGCGTTCACTTTCGGCGTAATGGAAAAGCTGTATTAGAAAGATCGAGTAATACGTCCGGTAATTATATGTATAATGTATAGTCAATTAAAATGTAGCCACGATTGGCGCGATTCGAATATTTCGTGTGTTAATAGCAATTTTTGGCAAAATATTAGTTTAGTTGATTTAAAACAGTAATATTAAATTATAAATAGAACTCTATAAGAAATTTAGTATGCTGATTCGTATAACAGAATTTATACGTTATAACAAAAATATATTTCAAATTACGTTATTTATTATAAAATTGCTTAATATCGTGTATGCAATAATTATTGAGTCAGTTGATTTCATCTATTTGAAATAATTCTCATTGTTTATTGATTCCGTGGAATATTTTCATAATGGATTATTTTCCAAAGTTCTATAGAAAACATTCTAGAAAATTTTTAAATAATTAATAAATTACATAAATTATATATAGAGAAATGTATTTACTACATTATGTTATATCAATGTAATGTTTAGGAAAATCGATGCCACTGCAACTAATTGGCGATTAGTTATGGGACTTTGTTTGCGGATTATTGTATCAAAATCGATATTCAAAACTATTATCACAGAAGAATTGATACTTAGGTACAAAAACATAATTTTTTTTAACATAGAAGGAATAGAATTTAATTTCATTTAGCGTGATGTGAACGTGTAATGTCAATAAAACTTCTAAGCACTGTAAATTTCTCAGAATGTTATATATTATAAATTATAATATTATAACGACGAAATCGTGTGTAACAATTTGTATTTCTCAATTTTTATTTCATTTTCTGCCTTTGAATATTCTATTTCTATTTTTAAAATCCACAGCAATTAGCTATGCACTGTGTGGCGTTTTAAAATGTAGGTAAAGTATAATTGTATACGATTAATGTAGCTACAATTGATAAATAAAAAAACGTATATTTTTGATGATTAAAGATGTGCAATGCGCGTTAAATTGATAACGCAGCTAACACGTAGTTGTATACATGTAAAACTGATAGTGTAGTATTGCTTATCACCGTAAATAAATAAAGTAATATTGTTGCATGTCTCGCGATATATGTTAGATCCCTGTATCTTACACTGTAATATCATTCTCTATCACGTCTAAAGACTTAATAGTATTGCATAGAAAACTGTCATTCACGACAGAACTTATAAAATTAATTAATAAGTGTCTAACTCCAGATACTTATCATTCCAAAAAAAACAAGAATGGATAATTGCATTGTCCTGAAATGCACCGCAGTTCACATTCGGACTTAGAACGTCGCTCGATAAGCCGAGCGACACGCCAGGTATATCATACAAAAAAAAAACACGAGACACAATAAACTAAAATTCTAATTAGATTGATATAAGTGAATATATACATATATAGATTAGGAATTTGTAAGAAATTTTATTATTTTCACTCGTCAAAGCAAGCTTTTTTAAATATAAGTAGTTTTACTATATAAAAGTAGAGAATATTAGTTATAAATAATTTGATACCCTGACGAAAATGTTTGTTAGAATTCTTTACACAATTTTTCAGATTTTATGTAAATAGAAGTTTTGAAAATTTTTGTTTGATTTTATAACTTAGAAAATTTCTCAAAAATTTTTCAATAAATTAAAAATATTAAGAAAGTCTACATCTTTTATAAAACTTTTTATACATATATGTATAAATGTAAATTCTCTAAAATATTTATTGTATCTCTCATTTTATAATTTCCGAAGAAAACATGTATTGTATAACAAAATCTGAAGAGTTTTAAGATATTTTTCAGGGACTTTCATAAAGGGTAAGCAGGATAAGGAGGTGATTTCAGACCACAGCATGTAATCGATTGCCACAAGGGATAAAATTAATACACTGATGAAATAGTACATTGTGTAACATGTGTGGTAAGTTGTTTATTGTGCGACGCGGGCGCGGGAGCGCACGAGCGAAACGAGTGCAGTCCCCCGCGCCCGCGCCGCGCTATAGACAATTATAGCACATGAGTTGCACATACATTTTTTCATTACGTGCACTGTGTTAGTAATATGTTATACAATTATAAAGTCGCACGAGCGAAGCGAGTGCGAATGTAAAGTTGCACGAGCGAAGCGAGTGCAACTTATGGGATGGTGCGTGGGGCGCAGGAAGCAGGGGGGATTCGGAGGGGGGCACAGCCCCCTCCGAAAAATAAATTAAAATATTTCGTACATAAATATTTAACAAAATTTTGTATTGCTCATTACTTTTAATTATAATTGTGAGATTATTACAATTTGAAATTATAAATTCAAACATTATTGTAAGACATTGTAAGTTGAATGATATTTATAGATACTGTATTGTCGTTTTGTCGTAGTTACTTTTATTATTGGAGAAAACTATGCTTACCCCTCCCAGATGCCCCGAAAGGACGCTCTGGTCGCGCGCGTTTCTCCGTGTTGTTATTTGTACGAGCGCTACCAGTGCTACCACCCTACCACTGCCTTGCGTTATTTAGGCCTAACCTGCGTCGACGCTGGCGCCCGCCCGCCCGGTGTTCGTTCGAGTCGCGCCGTTTTCGATACTGGCCATATCGTCCCGATATGTCAGAAATTTGTGAACGGGGCCATTTTACCAAGATTGTAAGTATCCTTCAACGTGTAATAACTAATATTGGCTGCTTTCCAGCTACGACACAAGTAGACACTGTGTAACACAGTGAATCATTGCATCCCTGCTGTTTGCCTGCGTTAAACGAGGATGAAACGATTCTCTGTGTTACACAGTGTCTGATTCTGTCCTTGCTGGAAAGCACCCATTGTATAAGTGTCCTTCAACGTGTAATAATTAATATTTTAATTTCTTAGTCGGGGGGG